TCTATTTACTCAGGAATTTCGTTAACATATGCTATTGAATTCTCCAAGGAAATGATCGAGAAACAATAATTCAAAATTTTTATTATACCCTAAAACTGTAAGTTTTTAGGTCAGGCATTCTATTGTTTTTAGTATCTTTTTTTTATCGGCAGGTACAGCTCCGAAGGCATTTTTAAAACATATATGTATGAGGCCTCAAATTTTATATATATATACTTTTTTTTTTTAGTTTTGAGGTGGAGAAGATAAGTTGGAAAGTGGTGGGATTATTCTAGAAATAGAAATGTTAAATAACTTATACCTCTTTTTTCTTACTGTAATTCGTAGGAGAAATTTTGTTTGAAAAGTATAACACTTGTATTTTTTTAGCTTTCATAAGAAGTTAATTAGTTTTCAGGTATTGTATTGTTTAGTTTTATTTGCAAAATTAGATTCTTTTTCAATGTTTTTTTATAGGGCCTCGATTTTAATTTCGTATAGTCTCAAATCTCTCATGCCCGACTCTACTTATCATACAATAAGCGTCGTTTACTTATACATAAAGGTCACCGATCAGATGATGTACTATTTACGGTTTGTATTTTGTAAAGAGTTAGATTTGTGTTTGTATAAAAATGATCCTAATAAGGACAGAAGAAGAGTTTTCCATCCATGGCCTGCCCGTGTTTTACCCTCTCTTCTTCCTTCGGCTTTTTCTAGTGGTCGTGGCTCTTTGTTGCATAACAAGAACTTTGTTACTTCCATCGAACCCATCTTCTCTTGTGGATTCAAAGCTAACACCAAAGCAATGATTTTAAAAGAATCGAATCACTCTCGATAAGAAGTTCATACTATATAATTTGAACATGTACACAACGTCAAAAACATGCAAACAATTCACGTGATTTTCTATAATCAGATAAATTCTATGACTAAAGGAACACAATTAAAACATGGTAAAGAGAGTTTTCTGTAAAATACTGTTGAATCCGGCATTAATGGAGTAGAGAATGAAGTTATCAATGTTAAACCCTAGAACTGGAATCCTGCCTTGACGAGCATAGGCTTTCAAAGCTGTGTTAATAACACTTGAAACTTCATCACCTTCGTTAGCCAAAAACCTTAAAGGACCAACACTTCCAAGAACATTCACACTCACCAATATTTTTTTCTTCCTCCCTTTGGTCACTCCTTTTATATGCCCATTTCTATTCATCTCATTCTTCTTTGCATAGATAAGTAAAGAACAATGGAGCTCATGAAATGCGTAATGCTTGCATTTTATAGAGGTACAAAGGAAGAGAGATAGAATATTAGAAAGAGAGCATGAAAGGTAAGTGTTAGTAGTTTCATCCATTGAGAGAAGAACCTATGATATGCTTCATTCATATATAAGTCCCGACAAAATAAGCTAGAGAGATTTTCTATCAAGACCATGAAGTTCCTATATATAGGGTTATTCATAGAAAGGTGTAGAACCACAAAAGAGAGTCTACATTTGTTAAGAGATTGA